GTGCCAACTACCACAAAGCCTAGGTGAGGCAAGACATCCTGCCGACTGCCTCCAACTATCTAATATCATCAGATCAATGTGCACCGTGATGGCAAGCTACCTAGAATGGTGGCCACGTTGCCATACCTGACTGATAGAATTCAGTCTGCACCAAAGAAAGGACTAGACACGTCACACTAGTTACTAGTGTCCAATGAAAGTACGCACCATTGTTGTTTGTTAATATTGATAATACAAATAATTCTTCCGAATATTTGAATTCCTGGCTTCTGTCCTCTCTGCATTGTTCTTTGTTTTCCTTGGATTCGGTGATTTCTAATTACAATTACAAATAAGTATTACAGAGTCCTTGATAGTTTTCTATTTACTAAAGATACTCGTTGGGATATAAAAGAATTCAGAAGCGTAAACAATTCAATGAATACCGTCTTTTTTACTAAGTTCATTCACATACCACCTGTACAATAATAATATAATAATAATAATAAAAATAGCTTTATTATGCACAGCAGGTTTACACAATATGCACAATCTTTAGCGTAGTTAATTGCATAATATTTACTCTTTATCCAGGAGACTCAAGTGAAACATCCATCTCCAGTACATCATGTGACGCAGTGATTTCAGATCTGAAGAATAAAGTAATCCACTACGGTATTTCTCTATGGTCGCACAGAAATGCTCAACGAAAGGCTACAAAACAATTAAAAGTGCTTTCAATGGACACTAGCAATTAGTGTGATGTGTCTGATCCTTTATTTATTCTATCAATATAGCGAAAATATTCATTCAGACACGTCTGAATTCAGTCAGTCAGGTTTGCATTGTGGCCACCATTCTAGGTAGCTCTCTATCACGGTGCACTTTGAATTGTTGATGTTAGATAGTTGAAGGCAATCGGCAGGAGGCCTGGTATTTATAAACTGTAAAAATGCATAAATACCAACTTAAACTGAACGGATTGAACTAAACACTAAACAAAGGACTAGACACATCATACTAGTTACTAGTGTCGAATGAAAGTATCCTTTACAGTCCTACAGGAGGTCACTCGCAAGCCCGAATAACTCAGTGGGAACGTCTCTGACTGCAACACTGAGTGAGGCGGGTTCGAATCTCAGAAGCAGGGACATGAGTTCCTTCAAGGTTGCAGATACGCCTTGCTAAAGAGTGCCAACTAGCACAAAGCCTAGGTGAGGCAAGACATCCTGCCGATTGCCTCCAACCAAGTAAAAATGCTGACAAGTACATTAGAAAACCCACCAATATAACTGAATAATAGTCTAACAAAAACTAAAGAAAGTAAGATGCATTATTTCAGATGAAAATTCAGGTAACCCAGAGATTCAAGCAGGCTGCTAATATCATTTATATACCTTTTTGATTGGTATACGTGTCAAATATATCGACTGAAGTAGTTTCGTTAACAAAAGAAAAAATCAACATTTTATTCTTATCATATATTAATCAAAATAAACAGAACACTTTTGAACAGAGGAGACAAATCTAAATGTAGAAGAAGGAAGCAATGGAAACTGATAATACCTTTAGATCGCCGGTTGTATATTGATGAAAAATTATCATGGAAAATAAAATGTAGTCAACAGTAGCATATGAAGAAAGATAGACAGAAATCACACACACAGGTGGTAGGTATTAAAGAAAACAAAATGGCGTCTAACAATTATTACAAAAGGTAGTCAATAATGCTATGGAAACACTGGAAATAAGAAAAAAAAATGAAATTTGACAAAAGTGGTTGTTGTATTTGTAACAGAATAATTGTTTGAAAAATCTCTCCTGAACGATCTAATCACAATATTTATACTTATTTTTTTCCTTCACGTTCCCCAGTGGAACATAGGGCTTCAAGCTAGTGGCTTGAAGTTTCTGTAGCAGCGTTTATTTTACAGGATGGAGTTGCTAGCCTCATGCCCAACCTTTCCTCTTCACCAGCATTATTTCTGGCTTAGCGAGGTAAAGGAGTGCGTCGGCCGGGGATCGAACCCCGGACCATGTGCATGGTCGGCGAGCGTCCTAACCGCTATGCCACCGACGCACACACTTATACTTATTAGATTGTTTCAACTAACTTTGTCATTATTATCCGGTTTTTTCGCCTAGACTCCATGTCATTGTTCTGACATTTGCATATCAGATGCTGATTTCATCGTCGACTTTTCACGGCGGCCTACTTAAATCACTGGGCTACCAAAGTTTTCGTCTACCAAAATGCTTAAACTCTTCGCTATTTCTTATTATATGACCGCTACATGAACTAGAGCGCCTTTTTGATTAGTTTCCAACTAAACACTGTGCAATTCTTGAAAGGAATGAAGGAAAAACTTACGGAACTGGTTGTCTTCTCATATACAACAACGTTATGTCACATTATATACTTCAGACTATTACTTTACAAGTAAGTCCTATCTGAAAAAAATATTTTGGAATAAGTTGCCAAAATCATCGAAGCACCACATGCTCCAAACAGCAGAGGCTATTGCAATTCGCCTCAAACAACCAGTGCTCTGTGTTCAAAAGAAGCAAGTCCAACCAGCCCCTACTACTGCCCTGGCTGGCCTTCAGTAGAGACTATAAATTCATGAATTTGTGATATTATCTTTCCTAATTTTTCTGACATTCAGCTTATTTTTATGTTGATGCTATTGAGCTTGACTGATAGAATTCAGTCTGCAGCGAAAATAGGACTAGACGCATTACACTAGTTACTGACTAGTGTGCAATCAAAAATATCCAATACAGTCCTACAGGAAGTCAATCGCGAGCCTGAATAGCTCAGTGGTAACGTCTCTGACTGCAGCACTGGGTGACGCGGGTTCGAATCTCAGGAGGGACATGAGTTCCTTCAAGGTTGCAGATACGCCTTGCTGATGAGTACTAACTAGCACGAAACCTAGGTCAGACTAGGCTTCCTGCCGATTGCCTCCAACCATCTAATAACAACAATGAGCTGTAATCTATCAATATTATTGATTCGGTGTTATTTAAACAACAATAATTTTGATCATAACACTAATTCATTCATTCACTATAATGTATATATAACTGTAGAGCCTGCTGATGAAGTTATCGAAAAGAGTACTCTTTGTTCAGTATCCATTCTTTTGAAAAATTTTGGAATACGTTGAAAATTTCTGTAATACATGTTTACACATTGTATGGAATAAAGCCTTATCATTATTAGTAATATCCTTATCACTTGTTTTTTTCTCTGCTTAGTTGTGATTCTTTTCGGCAGAGTTTTTGATCCCACCTTATTGCGAATAGTCTACTTAATTCTAATGTACTTCTTACGGTTGAATTTCAGTTAATTAATTTTGCTCTACAGTCCTTGTTTTGTACTTTGAAACCTATATTGCCTGACAGTACTGTTAAGGTAGTTTTAGGTTTTTGATGTTATTACTGTTGCATAGAATCCCACATAGATTCCACCCATAAACAATCTTCTTTGTGTTGTCTTTGCAGTGTTTAGTAACCGTGAGTTCCTCAAGGAAGTTTCAGGTAGCTATGGGAATGTGTTACGTTTTGTCACTTCTAATCGATTCACTGTTTCCAATTTTCAACCACATTGGATAGAGTTCCTTAATTTATTTTCATAGAACTCGAATCGAAAGACCTATGTAATATTCCCCACAAGAGCAGGTGAACCGGTAGTTGCTCATGTTACTCGTCAAATGCTAGAGTTTATCCTTCGAGATGTTAGAAAACAATGAGGGATAGAAGGATACTTATCTCAGCATCAACACGAAGAATTTCTTCTGCAAGAGAAACAGATGTCTTCTTCAGGTTGTTACATAGTGAGTCTGCTTTGAAGTCTACCCTCATGTACAATTTCTTTCTCCATGCACAGGTGAAGATATCTGTCAGGTTTAGGATTCATGTTGTTGTCTACAAATCATCATGAAGGACAGGCATTTTCAATGGAGATTTTCTTCAGGTAGAATATCTCATCGTCTAAAGTATCATCATCTGAGGTGAGGTGCGGATTGTTCTCATCAGATAAGCAAGAGATACGTTTCAACAGTGGACTATTACACTTAAATTTCCTTGTAGATTAATCTTGCCAACTTGCATAAAAGTATATACTACTGATTGACTGAGATGAGTACTTGTATACCAATCATATCAGCAGTCATATCGAAGTGATCTAAACACCGGACGGCTGATTCACTCGCTTGTATCCGAGCTAATCAGTAGTGTACTTGGAGGATTTTACTGAGCTCAGAATGGTGAATCAGTTCAAACCACCCAACTTCTAGCTAGATTACTTGGGCTGTGTATAATGCAAATTGCTGACTAACTTGCAAATTGTAAAAATTAGATTTATGATCTCGCCAATGTTACATTATACTTTTTTCTTAGTGGTACACTAAGAATGAAAATTTATACCCATTTTCTATTCGAAGAGTAAAATTTGGTGGATGGCTGGACAGTTACAAAACAAACTTTGTACATATAAATGCAATTTTGCCGCTACAATACGATGTGGTTCAGTGGTAGAACGCTAGCCAACCACGCACGTGGTCCCAGTATCGATCCTCGGTCAACACACTGCTAAACATCACTAAGCCAGTGGTAGACAGTCCAGCAAAAATTGAAGGTTGGGCGAGAGGCTAGCAAACCCCCTCCCAAACCTCATAAAAATAAAAACCACTGATACCGAAACGTCAAAGCCCTAGCTTAAAGCTCTATGTTCCACTTTTATTTATATTTATTTTTCATTTTGTTCCTTTACGTTCCCAGTGGAACATAAGGCTCCAACCTGGGGTTTTGAAGTTTTGGTAGCAGTGGTGTTTATTTTTACGGGATGGCGTTGCTAGTCTCATGCCCGACCTTCCCTCTTTACCAGTCATATTACTAGCTTAGCGAGGAGGTAAAGGGGTATGTCAGCCGGAAATCGAACCCGGAACCTCCTGCGTGGTTGGCGAGCATTCTACTGCTGTGCCACTGACGCACATGTCCCACTAGGAACATAAAGGGATAAAAACAAGTAGCTATGACGTGAATTTTACCAGACTTTTCGCCGGACTACTTGCTTTGTCCCTCTATTTCCTGCTCCGACTGGTATCTTTCGTCTATTTTTAATTATATTGTGAATAGAAGAGTAAGATATTCAGTCAAGTAAAGTATTATTCTTCTTGTATTATTATTGTTGTTACACTGTACAAACAATCCATGAAGAAGATCAGAAAAACAAATAAACAGTTGAATAACAATAATAATAGTAGTACTGATAACCATTTTGATAATAATATTATTAGTGAAGTGGAAAATGATAAACGAATATAAAAATACATAAATGAATGAAAAATATTATTTTTGATGATGATAATACCGAAGTATACAAGCACAGAAATCCATTTTCAAACAATAAAAGTGAAACAAATGGGTAAGTAGGTAAGTAGGTACATAGGTAGTAATAATAAATAATGAGAGATTCTTACTTTAAGAAAATATTTGGCAAAAGCTTTATTGATCCTACTACTTCAAAACCTCAAGTAATTTTTGTACTTAACGTAAACACATTTTTTTTAAAATATTCTATTTGACAAGACTTTATCGACTATTAGTAGCACAGCAACACAGCCGAGTACAATAGTACAATATCACCAGTGATGAGACCATGTAGGGCATAAATGTGAACGAAGACACCGTAAGTTAATATGTAAGTTAATGTACACACACACACAGACATAGTGTATTAAGGGCAATATGAAAGTATGTAACTAGGCATATTATAGTCAAAGTACAGTATCACATACGTGTTGTGTAATAGACATCAAAATGTTTGAATGAAGAAGACGAAACACATTAACTAACACACACACACACACAGGCACGCACATATACACAAGTAAACATACAAATATAAGAAAATATTTTTCCCTCAATCCTTTCTAACTTTTTCCACTGTCTTCTTAAACATACCTTGATGATGGCGACTTTTATGTGATGATAACTTTGAAGGCAGATGAAAGGTGAAAGCTTCATTTGGTAGCATATCTAATTGATTCGCCAAGGGTCGTACAATTGTAGGGAATGTAAACAATCCAAATAAAATGCTTAATACAACTTCTATGTAGAACCCATCAAATAAATTTGAACATACTCCACCTATTGTATGACATGCCTATTTTGAAAGAAAAAAGAAAGAAAAAAATTTTGAAATGGAATGAGTATCTAAATAAAACAATTATGATGTAGGCTTGATAATGAGGTGATATCAGTTGTAGAAGCAATGGAGGGAGTACTGGACAGCTGTTTCGTCTTCGCTTGAGACTCTCCAGCAGTACGCACCCACCAGAGTTCGAACCAGGACCACCCGATCACAAGGTGAGCTTGCAGACCATTCAGCCACTGGGACCAGGTGCGAGGACCCATGAATTCCAACTTTTGCCAATCCGCGATACATATAGCTCAACCACCAACCAATGTCATCAGCGAGTGACTGTTCTTTTACGTGACTCGGTGGATCCCGCTGATCATAACTTCTTTCTAACTGATGTCAGCTAGTTATCAAATGTGTACACCAATCAACTGCCTACAAACCAACACTTTGAAATTATAATGTAATTAATATAAGGTGATGAAATTATCATTAATCGTATTTCATAGTATAACTATAACTAGTGTTGACAATCCACCCTACCTATTTAACTAGCGACATTTGAACTATTGAGTGAAACACTAATTTTCATCTTATCAGTTCTAATAACACATCGCTATTTCATAAATCCATCAAACCTCCCAAAGGGAGTGAGATTAAGACATCTACACATGGCTGAAGCACTACAGATCCGAAAATTCAAGTCAACACTCTGTATTTTTAAAAGAAGTACGTTCAACCTTTTATCTACACTACGACCATTAATCAAGAGTCTATATTCCCTGAGAATACCACTACTCGTTAGTTATGTTTTTTTATCCAAACTTTCTGTTTATTTTATTATTTTACGTATTGTATAGCTTCATGATGATATTCTCTATATTTTGACTTCTGACTGGAAATAGCTCTGCAACTTTCTCACTTTTCTGTTACATATTCACGAATGTACAACCTTAAAAACCAGTTTTTATTTACCACATTGTGAGCCACACTTATTGTGAGACGTTTATTGGTACTACCAGATCGACCAGGCTAAAATAGCCTGAGTGCGATTAGAGCCTGGAATCCATGATTAAAAAGTTTAGTGTTTAAGAAAACGCGTCTGTTACCAACAGCAAAATCAGATGGAAAAAATGCAATCACATAGTATTGTACAGTGTTTTGGGGTGCCGGAAACTGAAGAAGTATTAGTGTTATGCGATCACAGAGTCCGGGGGACAACTGGGCCTGTTTGAAGTATTTTTTTAAAGTTGCGTCGGTAATAAGACCTTACCGCCGGCTACGGACCACCACAAGGTAATAAGTCGGGATGAACAACTTTCGGGTCTGACCTCTTCTATGCTCCGTTTTCAGACAAGAGAGGCAGCATAACTGGGGAGCTGGTCACCTGAAACACCTCCCTACTATTACATGCCTATTCCATAGCAGTACAAAGTCGCCTACAGACCACACACACACACACCCAACATAGTATAAACAACTTACACTATGACGGTAACTGCTTTTAGTTCAACCGCTATCCAAACGACCTTTCTAGTATGATCGGGTTGTGTGCCACATAGTGTGGCAACTTGAAATGCTACAAGGTGGGAAGCTAAACACTAGTGATTACAGGAAAACAACATATTTAAACCAGTATATATGGAGTTCAATTTACCCGATCCTATATCAGTTAAAATAGGATTTAGTGAAAGCCTTAAACAACAGAGCTAAACAGTACAAAAGAAAATCTACGGCATGAAGCTTTGACACTTAATAAATACCCTGGTAAATTTATCCAAAAATATATAACAGATTATAAGAATGAAAACGAAACGATCATGAAGAGTAAAATAAATGAAAATATACAGGAGGATGATAACGTAATACAAAGAGAGGACCTCAGAAACTTTAAGTAGGATTTTTAACAAGGCAGGAGTGAGAGTAGCATTCAAACCCACAAACTCACCCAGAAGCAAACTATGTTAGTTGAAGAAACTAAATAATTTACTTAGTCAAAAACACAAGTCCGAGTAATAAACCATGATTAATTAGATTAGAGGAGCACAAGAACTTCATGAAAATCTAGAAAAAAAGCTCAGCTACAGCGTTACACGCAATAACACATAACCCTACAATAGGATGCGACGGTGACATTCTTAATATCTAATATAATAGGATAAAGAGAGATGACTTTTTTAGTAAACTTTCGTCATACCTATACAGCTGAATAATATTTTAAAAAGATCAGTTAAAATGCCAATGTACGCTGAAGATTAATGACTACCGGTAAGAAAATATGAAGAACTGTACATCAGAAAAGTAAAAACAGTAATTTGTGACAATCTATTAGGTAGTCTAAACAGAATGATTCTTATTCATGAAATAACCTTTGAAATCAAATATGAGTAGCTCTCACGCACACAACAAGTGCGGCCCATAGCCCGAGTAAACGAATTCGAACTGAGACACATTTGAAAGGATGTATTTACGCAGACACTCATATTAGGAAATAAATACTGATCAGCTGCAATCAGAAAAGGCAAATCATGTGGCGATGAAGCTGCAACTTCGAAGAGAACTGATGTCTAATGTCACATAAATTCGAAGATCTACATGTGAAAACCAACAAGTTGTGGGAAGAGAGGTAGGTGGTGAAGACAGGATTTCAAGTGAACAATGAGAAGACATAGATGATGAACATACCTGACAACCAACAGCAATCACTGTCAACGGGAGAAATTTGGAAGATGTTATTTCCTTCACTTGTCTAGTCGTTTCAATTAAGGGTGACAGCATGGATGAGGATGTCGGAAAGGCAAAAGCACACCTTTATCACTCTGAAATCAGTGTGGAAATCTGCTGCACTCTGCATAAAGAACAAAACTCGGATTTTCAACACCAATGTTGAGTCAGTCACTTCTTCTATATGGGTTAGAAACTCGGCGAGTCACAGAAAGCATTTCCGATGGGACACTGCAGACTTTCATCATTAGCTACGTTAACTGGTTCCTACGGTGAATCAAATGGTCGGCCAGGAAGAATTGACAACAAAAATTCTGGCGGCCTGCTTAAAATTTAGACTACCGTAAACTTCTATCAATATATTGCATATAACTTCTCTTGTTTAAATCAAGTAAAATATGACCTCTAATAGTATTATATACTCTGGCGGGTATTTAAAACATTTACAATCTGATAGTTTGCAAGTTTTTATTAAACATGTGAAAAAGCATTATCCTCGACGGCAGCTTATCCCAATACATACATGAGATAACTGTTCTTCGGATGTTTCCTTCGTTCACAAAATGTACTACTGAACTTCCTATAATCAACCTTCATAAAAAATGTTGTGTATTTCTCGAAGGAGAAAAAGAAGAGATTTCATGATGGATTTGGTTTGCACTTCAGGTCAGATAGAAATGTGTTACACGATCTGTTGTCAAATTAATCTTTTACTTGAAGATCCTGGAAGAAGAAAAATTGTCATGTACGCAATAAACTCCGCTGAAAGTTCTGTACATTACACATAAACACTGTTCAAAATAAAAAGCTATTATTATCGTTGTTTTTAAACAAACCAATAATCAAGAACATAGTGCTCGAAAAAATATTCCGGAGAAAATGGAGATGTGGGCAGCAGGAGACGCCTGATTGACACCAAAGGAAATAAGAATGATATTATAATAATACATTGCTCAAGTTCTATTTTTTATATCAATGAAACGGTCACTTCAGCAACCTATGATAATTACAGAAGTAAATAGCTGTCATTTTTTTCATTTTCACTGAAGGAATCGTAACTCAGTAAATACTTCTGTTATGAGAACATTATTATAATGTCAACCATTGACTTTTTGATCAAACAATTAAAATAATTGACAAAGTAAGTTTAGATCTGTATAATTAACTTGACCGGAACAGGCTGGATTCAGGAGAAACAAGTCATGCATTGATCAGATCGCCACATTACGGATCATCATTGAACAAAGCTTGGAATGGCAGTCACCTCTCTATCTCAACTTCATCGACTTTGAAAAGGCATTCGACAGCGTCGATCGAGAGGTGCTTTGGCAACTACTTCGCTACTATGGGGTGCCACCGACAATTATACATCTCATCCAACAGCTGTATGACAATGCTGCATGCCAAGTAATCCACAACGGGAAACTCACGGAATCCTTCGAAGTGAGGACAGGAGTAAGACAAGCTGGCTGCCTACTATCGCCAATGATTTTCCTGATTGCAGTAGACTGGATAATGCGACAAACAGCGGGCAATGAGGAAACAGGCATAAAATGGACTCACACAAAAAAACTTGGAGGATCTGGACTTCGCCGATGATGACATATGTCTGATTTCCCACAAACTGGAAGATATGCAAGCGAAAAGCAACAAGTTGGCAGAAGAAGCATCCAGAGAAGATAGGACTTCAGGTGAACATAGAGAAAACAGAGGTGATGAAGATTCCTGGACAAGAACAACAACAGACAACGATCAGCATAAATGGGAGGAACCTGAAAGAAACAACCTCTTTTACCTACCTGGGAAGCATCGTTTCAACTACAGGCGGAACTGACGAGGATATCAAAGCAAGAATCGGAAAAGCAAGACAAGCTTTCACTACTCTCAAGTCTGTGTGGAGGTCAACAACACTCAGCATCAAAAATAAGATCCGGATTTTCAACTCCAATGTGAAGTCAGTGCTACTATACGGATCAGAGACTTGCACTGCGCGTCATAAAGAGCATCTCAAACAAACTACAGACCTTCATTAACAGTTGTCTTCGCTCAATACCACTCAAGATCAGATGGCCGGCCAGAAAAGATCAGCAACAGAGATCTCTGGCAATGAGCGAACCAACACAGCAGGAACCGATTGTGAAACAAATAGGCAGGAAGAAATGGAGATGGATTGGCTGGCCATACTCTGAGGAAACAATCCATCAAGTGACATCACTAGACAAGCCATTGCTCGAGTGGAACCCGAAAGGGAAGCGGCGAGTTGGTCGTCAGTGCAAGGGTGACTTGGAGGAGGTCATGTGAAGAGGAGATGAGAACGTGTGGGCAGACTTGGAGCCAGGTAAAGACTCTAGCAGAGAACCGAACGCAATGGAGACGCACGGCTGAAGCCCTATGTTCCTCTAGGAATTAAAGGAAACAATAATATAATGATAATGATAATAATACTACTAATAATAATAATTAACTTACTTGTATAGTTTTAGCATCTTTACATGTAGCATTATGCGTTAACCATGATTGACCATGAGTGTATAGAACATCGTTTGGATAATGTGAAATTTCACTAGTATTCATTACATAACCAGATTGTATAGATTTAGTTTGTAAAGATAATAAACCAGCCTTTAAGATATCAGCACCAGAGCATATTCTAACAGTAAGTGGTTCAACAAGAGATAAGAATATTGTGTTGGGTAGACTTGTGGCTATAATAGATTTTTTTTAAATACACAATTGATTAAACAGGGAAGAGTTATTACGATAATCTTTATGAAGAATAATACTTAAATTTATTTATTCAATAAATATTAGGAAATATAGTTTCGTGTCACTTACTGTCATAAATAAAATAGAATATTAAACACCGTTTAGGCTTAAATGGCATATTCCTGTGCTAGTTTGAGAATTGAACAACTTATATGACTGGATATCAATCGACAAGGTTGTGAAGTTACATCGATTTAGATGGTTAGGACATGTGTTACGCATACCTAGCCTAGCCATCACCTTCCTCGACGGGCAATGTTAGCTGGCATATGATGGATCAGGTTGGAAAAGAGTTAGTCGTGGTCAAACCAAAACATGGCCTCATCAGTCAATGAGATCCACAACAGTTAGTTTAAGCCACGTAGGAAGATGTAGACTTCCTGGTTGGAGTCCTCGGGATGCTAAAAACAAATGGCTGGCGACAACTGGTGATACGGCTCCAAATCTTTCTCAGTGGTGCAGATGCTATAGTTTTTCTATATTACTATTCTTTTTCCCTCACACTTTTGTTTTTATCTCCGTTTTTAATCTATTTTTACTTTCTCTTGCTTTGTGTGCTACGTGAAGTATGGCGACTGGAACTGCTGCACATCTGTGCAAAGTTCTATGCTGAAAACAGTCAGTCAGTATACGGCTGAATGAGGTAACATTAAATGACTAGGACAGGTGTTCATTAGTCTGAGATCGGTGTAGAGATCCCACACACACACACACAGCACTCAGCACCACAAATATAATTCGAGTTTTTAACACCTGTGTCAGTGTTACTATATGCTTCAAAGAATTGGTTCAACACCAAAAACATTCCCAACAGGCTGTAATCTCTTCAGTTACAACAAAGAAACATCATTTATGCACTCCCGTATTTTGTTAGTCCATAGTAAAAAAGGGAACAAACAGAGCAAATAATGCAATCATTAGACTGAATGAACTGACTGACTGGTTCCACCATAGAACTTTGCATATAAAGGTCAACCAGTTCAACTTGCCACACTCCATCTACCACAAAAGGGAAAAACAGAAATTCGAAAGAACGATAATAAGCAGAGATGTAAGAGAGAAAGAATAGTAACATGAAAAAACAGTAGGGTTTAATGGATGTTAGAAATCACAAAGAGTGAATGCATCTGCGCCACTGAGAACGATTTTGAGGCATATCACAAATTACGTCTAGCCACTGGTTCTGAGCATCACGAGGACCCCAATCAAACAGTCTACAACTCCCTACGTGACTAGCTCAAACTAACTGGCAAAGATTTCATAGACTGATGCCAAGTTCTGGTTTGACTACCACTAGTTCTTTTCCAACCTGATCGTATGTCAGAGTAACCTGGTAAGTGCTACACAGGCCTTTTGTATCCATGCTGAGATTACGTCAGCAACTACTCCATTACGGCTGATGCAACTTCCTCAATAAATGAAGTGATCAATGTGCTCCACCACTTCACTCCTTATCTTTAAGCTAGGAGTCAATGAAGTCCAGTCCTGTAACATCATCTTAAAGGAGTAAATCATATGCCAAACATTTGAAGATTTCTGCTCAAGGTGTTCAGAAGACTCTGCATTTTATCAGCGTCTTCACCTAGGAGGACTATACCATCCTTATAGTCTAAGTCGACAAGATTCTTTCCTGGTAACAAGTCACTAAAGTCAGTTAAGATCATTTCCATTCGTATATATATATATATATATATGATGAAATAAAACAGAAGAGGCGACAGTGAGTATCCCTGATGGACACCACTGGTTGTCATCACTCCAGATAACAACCCTACGTAAGCTCTTAAACAGCCGCTGTGAGTTTGAGTAGTGACTTGAACAGTGCGATGTACTTTCACGGCACTTCCTTTACAACCAAACATTGCCATAGTACCCCTCGGTCGACAGAGTGCTGAATAGTCTTCACACAAACATTATTTATTTATTTATTTAAACGCAGAAAAAACTTGGTACAATATGGCACCAAGAAAGATGCGCCACACAATATTGTGTGAGGGCTGAGATACTGCCCGGGCGCCCAGACCGAAGCAGGTGGTTTTCATAAGGGACCACCCCCGAGCCTTTGACTTGGAGTCTAATCCGCAAGGCAGCGGAGTAGCGTCAGGTGCTGCGTTCCCATGGTTGCCGGTGACCCATATGGGTTCATACGCCATTTGATCCGATTGAATTCTGGAGCCCATGTACCCCATGGTAACTGCTTTTAGTCTAACCGCTATCCAAACAACCTTCCTGACATGGTAGGACCTGCAGGGACATGAGTCCCAGCCAGTTTAGCTTGTTGGGTCACTGCGGCATTCAAGCCCGACCACCACGGCAAGGTAGCAGTTATCGGTTGGGCTTCACACAAAGAAAAAAAAACATAGAGAATAAAAGTGGCAAATCATTTGAGAAAAAAAGAATTTAAATAAAGTGTTAATACATACATTGAACTTACCTAAATTAGCTGCCGTATTTAATAAAGTCATATATGTCCCTCCTACAGCTGGATCACTGATTCTTGCATGAAATGCCATTTGTGTAATAAACATTATATTAGTGAGTACCGAGTAAATGAATAAGTGACTTATAATTAATACATAGAATAACCATGAGAATGAGACATGCGTGACACCACCACCACCACCTTCTGGAATGGATGATCCTGAATTCATAGTATAATTATCGTGCATCATTGAAGGGATTTGATTTGGTATTTTAAAATATGGAGCAAAATGAACCAATGGAACAGATAATGAAGCTAAAAATAAACTGTACAAAAGAGAAGCATTCACTCAATACATGAATTCAATACAGCGTGGATATGATTACATCTCTTCTTGATTAAAAGGAAATCAAAATTGCAAACGAAAGAGGATGTGCTGATATGTGAATATTTCAAAAACTTCGACAGTTTTTATTTATTGATTTTTTTTTGGGTAGTCTAGTCTGGTGTGGATAAAACTAGTCAAATCTTCCCTTAATACTAATGAGAAATGTATCAAACCATCTTCTTCCCAAAAATAGCATTGAGAACAACGAACGCCTAGAGTGACGTCGACAGTTGAGTCAACAAGAGAAAAAATTCAACACTCAAGCAGTGTTTCATACAACCAATTCCCTTGATTAGTGTTTGAACAAAGACAGAGACGAAACATATTTGCAGGATAAAAACAGCTCACGTTGTTTGTTTTTTAACTTCACGGCCTATCATCAGGTATCAACAGTCTAAAAACTGATAAGTTGTTATAAATATACATAGTGCGTCAGTTTTTCAGTGGTACAATGAATCCTGCCAACCACGAATGTGATGCGGGGACCGGCTCCCGGCCGACGCGCTCCTAAACATCATAAAGCCCGTAATAAACCGGGTGAAGAAGGAAAGGTTGGGAGCATGAGGCTAGCTAGCAACCCCACCCCGTAAAAATAAACAATCACTGCTACTAAAACTTCAAAGCTCAAGTTTGAAGCGTTACGTTCCACTCGAAACGTAAAGGAATAAAATTTTAAAAATCTAACACTTCAGAAGTATTGCAGTTCAAAGGGTATAACAGGGAAACAGAAGATATGTAATAGCAGATAATTAATAATCTAACAACCAGAGTTTATTTCACCCCTAATGTGACGCGATATTTGAGAGAAGATGGTGGTGGTGGTGGCCGTGGCGGGGGAGGGGAACTGAGAAGAAATGGTAAGTAGAATTAAAATTAATACGTAGACAAACAAACAATGAAGTAAACTGGAAGATTGATAATGAGTTGTAATCAAAAGAGAAAAGTTGTGACACAACAAAAACACAGTGTTAAGTCATGTAATGACTGACTGACTGACTCAATTTCAGCATAAATCGTTGCCCGGAAGTGCAGCGGTTCAAGTTGTCACACTCCATGCAGCACACAAAGGTAGACAATAGAGAGAAAAAATTATATTTAGAAATAACAATAATAATAATAAGCAGAAATGTGAGGGAGAAGGATAAGAACGTGGAAAAATATGATGGTTTAGTTGATATTAAAAGGATCACATAGAGTGAATGCATCTCCCCCTCCCCATTAAGAATAAAATCCATTTTATACCCTGTTTCAATACTTTGTTTTGTAATTGAAGAACTTGGACGGCTATTTTCAACATTATTTATAATGGGCTGTAGAGAATCGTAAATCCTTATGACAAGTATACATGTAATCAGATTGTTCAATTGTTATTCATGCACTATCGTTGTAATGCATTTCTTGCGTAACAAGCCTGGAACAATCTGATCACACATACACTTCTCTAAGGATTTATGTTTTCGATTGGATATTAGTTAGTACCTAGTGTGATGTGTCTGGTCCTTTGTTTGCTGCAGACTGAATTCTGTCAGTCACGTTGGCAATATGGCCAAGGTGGGAATGCATCACAGAACGAAAAACTAAGTGGTAACTAGTGTCCAATCAAAAGTATCCTTTACAGTCTTACAGGAGGTCACTTGCGAGCCCCAATAGCTCAGTGGTAACGTCTCTGACTGCAACACTGGGTGACGCGGGTTAGAATCTCAGAAGCAGGGACATGAGTTCCTTCAAGGTTGCAGATACGCCTTGCTAAAGAGTGCCAACTAGCACAAAACCTAGGTCAGGCTAGGCTTCTTACCGATTGCCTCCCACCATCTTATATCAATCATTCAAAAGATTTATGTTTCTCTGAATCCTAACCTTATGGTGAAAATAGACGTTTAAGTTCCTCAATTATAAAACGAAATAAAATGGATTTTTATACACCATTATTCAAACTCATTTACGAAACCTGTTGATAAGCCTTAAAGATTAGGAAGTGCCATCCACGTATATATATATATATATATATAGGATTTGTTACAGTAACATTCTTCTGCATAAATTAAGAATACATAAGTCAGTAAAGTGATCTCTCTTCTCTACACAACTTTACTTCAGAGCTATACAGTTATTTCGGGATCCGCCGGATGAAACTCAGTCTCATCAACTGGACCTGAAAGTTCTCATCCAGGTTCTTGTGGTGGCACTGGGATTGTTCCTAGTCCCAGTCATCCTGCCATACTAGCTCATTACACTCCCAATCTTGCTAACCCTAGTCTAATCAACAATCAGTCTAATGATCACCAACCACCTGAGCCATCCGTATTATATTGGAGGTCAACCACCACCACCACCACAGCAACAGCGAACTCCACCAACCTCAAACTCTTGTGTCCCTCAAGAATGTTATAAGATCATCACATCTTGTTTTTAACGACAGAAGACCTGCTCCCAATCCTGATAACGGTATGTTTGGTGCTGGTCCAGGTTGCAGTGACTCAGGAGTGCATAACGGTTCAGTAGGTCCTCCCTGAAGTAGTGGAGTGGTACCACCATCTCCCCCGGACAACCCTACTGGTATGCCATTTTGTGTCACATCTTACCCACTCCCAGTTCAGATCTCAAAGACTCACTATTATACGGAGGTCTCGGAATGGGGTGTGCTATCATGAGTCCAGCAGGTAATACTTCCCCGTTAATGTCGTGCGATTATCTACCCAGTACTGATTCAGAGGCCAGCAGACTTGAACAAGGCAACAGTGTTTTCCCTAACATGACATTAGTGGCAGATTTTATCCTCCTGAATAGTTGTATAATAAACACCATATCGTTCAAACCCCGATGGGTCCCAAACTAGGACGAAACAGTTATCCAGTACTCCTACCTGTTCTTCACCATAGCAGTAAAAATTATTTATTTTATTTCTTTATTACTCCCTTGGGTTTCGAGGGAAATAGAGCTTCAACAACACATCTCCACTTTGTTCTGTTTTCTGCCGTCCTCTTCAGCTGGGTCCAAGATTGACCAAACTCTCTCATCTCTTCCTCACACGATCTCCTCCATGTAACCCTCACACTGACGACCCACTCGTCGTTTCCCATTCGGATCCCACTCAAGCGATGGCCTGCATTGCATGCGATGTCATTCGAAGGCCTCCTCAATGTATGCCCAATCCATCTCCACTTTCTCCTACATATTTGTTAAGCAATCAGCTCTTGGTTAGTTCGTTCCACTACAGAGTTTCTTGTTGCTAATTCTTTCTGACCGGCTGGCCATTTGATCTTCAGGATGGAGCCAGCGAAGGCAGCTGCTGATAAAAGTCTGCGACCTGTTGGAAATCCTTTTCGTGACACGCTGGCCAAGTTTCTGACCCATATAGAAGAACTAACTGACTTAACATTTGTGTTGAAAATTTGAATCTTGTTCTCTATGCTGAGTGACAGCAGATTTCCAAATTGGTTTCAGGTTGGTGAAGGCGTATCTCGCCTTTCCGATTCTGACTAGCTTTGACATCTTCGTCCGTTCCGCCTGTAGTTGAAACGATGCTTCCCAGATAAGTGAAGGAGGCAACCTCTGTTAAATCTCTCCCGTTGATGGTGATTGATGTTGGTTGTTGTTGCTGTTGGTTGGTTATCTTCGTCGTCTCCGTCTTCTCTACGTTCACCTGCAGTCCTACCTTCGCTGCCTGCTTCTTCAGCCAGTTTGTGGCTTTTCGCCTGCAGGTCTTCGAGTTTGTGTGACGCTAAACATAAATCATCCACGCGCCAAATTCACGTCTTCTAGAGTCTTCTTATCAGTTGTCCAGTGTATCCCTGTCTTCTCACTCCCAACGCACAGTCTGACGCATAATCCAGTTTACCACAATTAAGAATATCATCGGTGATAATAGGCGGCCAGCCTTATACTACACCTGTATTCACTTCGAACGCCTCGCTGAGTTTTCCCTTGTGGATTGCCTGACACGTGGCATTGTCATATAGCTAGTTGTCAAATGAGGTTGATAAAGATTAAGAGCACTGTGCTGTGTAATGTTGAAGTAGTTAGCAAAGGTCTTTTCAAAGTCGATGAAATTGAATTAGAGATTTGACTGCCATTTTACGCTTTGTTCGATGCTGATGAGTAAAGTTGCAATTTCATCGCCTCATGATTTTCCTTTCCTTAATCCAGCTTGTTCGGGGTGGAGTTCTGCATAGGGTGTATCCTTTAGTCTCTCCAAGATGACGCGAAAGGGTGTGATTTCGTATCAGTAGTTGCAGAGTTCGTATACAACAAAGAGTTTATCTCAGGAATAAAGTTAATCATAACCACGATCAGTAAAGTAAAATATTCAATTAACAATATATTAAAATATTTCAAAAACCGTTATACACATATTTCAATAACAATGAATTACCGAGGTAATATAGCCCAAGTGTAATATGATAAAACTTTTGGTCCATTTGTTATTTTAATAATAAAAAGTGGTAAAACCGCTTGAAGTGGTAACAGTAGAATCCCAATGAAAGCTAATCGTTCTTTAGGCAAGCCTTGCTCGATTAATTTTAATCCAGAAATATTATCCGAAGCGGAGAAACATACCTAAACATAACAAAAAACAAACAACGTCCTGAATAAAAGCCAGATTTTTCGTTATGTCTAAATATCGTACTCGAACTCCTTTCGTGTGATATTGAAAAACTCTGTGTAGAACCGTAAAGCAATCACGCGGGGTTCCCAACAAAAGAACTAGTGGTGTTCTGTTTCCCTCCTCTGGATAGCTAAAGTGAACAGCATTCTAGAGAATATTTGCACACTTGAGGCTTTTTACGACCGACATACTTTGCTAAACACGAACAACTACACTGATATTATTATTATTATCGTTTATGTGTTGTGAGGCTGGAAGGTTATACGAAAGTAAGGAGTAGTAGGCCAGATAGGCGGTGTCTGTTTGTTGTCTCTGCCTATGCACCAACGGATTGCAGCCCGGATGCAATGAAGGATGAGTTCTACCACCAACTTAGCGATCTCTTGAGACAGGCGGGTCGGAGGGATATCGTAGTGCTGGCTGGGGACTTGAATGCACAGGTCGGGCGTCTGAGCTCAGAGGAGAATCGTCTAGGTGGTCAATGGGGACTACATGGTCACAGGTCAGATAATGGGAACCGTCTTCTGCAGCTTTGCGCGGATCACAACCTATTTCTAGCCAGCACTAACTTCCGGCACAACCATCGCCGTAGCGCTACCTGGAGTCCTCCTTCTGCGAATCAAGCTTGAACTCAGATCGATCATATTGCTGTCAGTTTCCGGTGGCGAGGATGCATACAAGACTGTCGCTCTTTCTGGAGCACATGCCTGGACTCCGATCATGCGTTAGTGTGTGCCAAGTTCGTCTTGCGATTTGGTGGGGTTCATAAAAGGCGTCGTCTAAACGTTGATTTGAGCAAACTGGTAGCACCTGCTACTTCTTTGAAATTTCAGAATGAGTTACAGTCAATGCTTGCCAGCAACCCCCCAAGTAGTATAGATGAACATTGGCTTCATCTGCAAGTTGCCATACAAAGGGCGAGTGTAGCCGCTTGCGGCTTGAAAGAATGCTCCGCCAAAAACCACTGGGTTTCTGCGAGTTCCTTGCAACTCCTGGATGAACGCCGGTCCATTCCGGCTGGCAGCGAATACAGCAATAAGCGAAAGGTGCTGACGCGCAAGATAAGACAGTGTTTACGTAAGGACCGCGAAGCCTGGTGGTCAGAACGTGCGGGTGAGATGGAGTCAGCTGCTGCATCTGGCAACAGTCGGAAGCTGTTCCAACTCATCAGAGCCACCGGCAGCAAGAAACAAGGTGTCAGCGAGACGGTCTGTGAGGCAGATGGCACGCCTGGAACGCTGGGCAGAGCACTTCGGGAAACAGTTTAGCTGGCCACCAGCTTCAATGTCTGCTGTCATTAGCCCCAGTGCTCCTTGGTCGGTTAATACCGACCCACCGACCGAAGCAGAGGTCCGTAAGGACAAAACGCCATAAGGCGCCCGGCCCGGACAATTTACCCCCGGCTCTTTTTAAAGATGGTGGCGAGACTCTCACAATGGCTCTAACTGGGTTGTTCAGGAAGGTATGGGAAACTGAGAGTGTACCATCAATGTGGAACGAAGCCATTATTTTCCCCAAAAAGGGTCGACGTAATTCATGTGACAATCATAGGGGTATCAGTCTGCTACCAGTCGCGTCTAAAATATTGGCTGCTGTCTTGCGTTGCAGACTGTGCAAAATACGTGAGGGATTGATTCGCGAAGAGCAGGCTGGGTTTCGTTCAGGTAGTGGATGCATTGATCATGTGTTCACCCTTCGTCAGTTGTAGGAACACCGCCACACGTATTGCAGGCCAACGATCGTTGTGTTTCTTGATATTAGGGCTGCCTTCGATTCGTTGGACAGAACTGTGCTCTGGAACTGTCTGTTAGAGAGAGGTGTACCTGAGAAATTTGTTAGCACCTTGAAAGCCCTATACAGAAACACCTCGGGTAGAGTGAGGGCATACAACCAACTATCATCACTGTTCCCAACCAACAGTGGGGTTAGACAGGGTTGCCCAATCTCTCCATTTCTCTTTAACTTTGCCATCGATGACATTCTGGAGTCAGCTCTGAAGGATGTGCGTGAAGGTGGTGTAGATCTCGGTGGTCGCCGTATCATTAAAAAACTCGAGTATGCAGACGATATCGTCTTACTGTGCGATAGCATGCAGGCTGCCCAAATCGCACTTAATCAGTTGGCGATCAGTGTCTGTAAGTATGGTATGTGCTTTGCACCGTCTAAGTGCAAAGTACTGTTACAAGATTGGTAGGAGCCTGTATCTGCACTCACTCTTGCGGGTGAACCGCTTGAAGTTGTTGATAAGTTTGTGTATCTGGGTAGTTGTGTGAGTGCTAGCGGAGGAGTGACGGATGAGATTTCCAACCGTATAGTGAAGGCTAGGGTGGCATACATCAACTTGAGCCACCTCTGGCGCCGTCGCGACGTTAGCCTGGCTGTCAAAGGTCGGGTATACAATGCTTCGGTGCGGGCTGTCTTGCTCTACGCCTGTGAAACCTGGCCTCTCCAAGCTGAGGATGTGAGGCGACTCTGTGTGTTCGATCATTGCTGTCTCCGCAGGATTGCTTACGTTCGATGGCATCATCGCGTGAGTAATTCTGAGGTTCGGCGGTGTGTGTTTCAATACAGTGGAGATCACCATTCATTGAGTGTCGTCATCTGGAAACACCGGCTCCGGTGACCTGGGCATGTACTGCGAATGTCATCCCAGAGGCTTCCGTACAATCTTCTGTTCGCTAGCTCTGGGACGGGATGGAAAAGGCGGAGAGGTGGTTAGTCCATGACGTGGCGTCGTGGGATGAAGGATATTTGTGCTAGATTAGCATCGGTTGGTGCATCACGACTCCCTGGTTGGGGTCCGCGAGATAGCTCGAATCGATGGCTCGAAACGTTATCGGATATGGCCAAGAATCGTAATCAATGGCGAACGTGTTGCAATTTCCTTCTTTCTTCCCTTCCTGATGATAGTTAACGAATACTGTTTGAACTTGTTAAATATGACTGTTTTCCTTCCAGATGAAGTTCTTTATCCGTTCTCTTCTTATATTTTTACTTTTAATCTATGTTGTTTTATTATTATTGTGCGGCGGGTCTTTCTTGGTGCCATATTGTACCAAGTTTTTTCTGAGTTTAAATGAATAAATAAATAATTGAGGCGACCAAACGAGGTATCTTATCCTTATTGATAGATTAACTGTCTGCTGGAGAATGTGGTTAGTTAGATAGATATGCTTGAAATGTAGTTTCTAAGAATCTCTGCCTCAATAACACCCTTGAACTCTAGGTTTATGTGCAGAGAGTGTTATTAGGAATAGCTGCAACCCTCGGCGATGGAGATTTTTCTCTCATGCTTTTGTCTATAAATCTAGGTGGATAACCCTTTTTCCAGCGTGGTGTCAAGTAGAGGTTTTAATTTAGTCTCTATCGTATTTTCCGAACAGATTTTTCGAATCCTTCAGTATGTACCACGTTTTGCTCTTGGCCTAGTCAAAAAAAACACTGGAAGTTATAAAACTATCTAGTCTACATTGGTGTTTTCAGCATAATGATATTTGGATCAAGCTGTCTTGTCCTCCAGTAAGTTGTACATACAGGAATAGAAAGGAATGTTCGATTCACATTCTAGAGTGAATTTTATTGAAGGGTGTACCGTGTTGAAAGTGTTGAGGAGATTGTCTGCATCAATTTCCTCAGATTTTTTTTGTCTTCTCTATTTACATCTTCTTTTGCTTAGAACGGATTTTCTCACACATCAACATGTACCTTAGTCTAGTAATATCATCTCGTCTTACTCTTTTGAATATATCGTCTTTAAGATAAAAACAAAGGGTAATCAATGTACATAAATAAAGATAAAGTGTAAAGTTATTATGGAAGCGTAATAAACAAATCGTAAATGTATTACATTTGTTTACAAAAGAAGCGTAAACTGTAGTTTTAAAATAATTAGAAAAACAAAACAATGATTCTTTTTTATCATTGTCAACTGAAAGAGTTAGAGTTATTTAACCAAGTAGTGATATTTCTCAGCAAGTGGACACATCCACAGTTGTAAATTACAACACCAAAGAATAGTTGGAATTCAGCAAACCCTATTATTTTTTGAAGACAGAGATTTCAAACAAGTAGTATCACAGCAGAAACAATAAAGAAAACTAATATTTTCAATAGTTGTTTTGTAGGGACTTGATTTGTTTCAAGTCTAAGCACTGATTGATGTCAATCAGAGAACCACTGAAGACCAGATCGGAGTACTGGACAGCTTTTTCGTTCTAATTCGGGACTCATTGGCAGCACGAACCCACCGCCAGAGTTCAAACCCAGGACCTTCCAGCCACAAGGCAGGCTCGTAGACCATTCAGTTAGTAGGACCCAACTCAATGGCCTATAAATTCGAAATTGAATCAGCCCCCTCTAAATGAATGGTCTACGAGCCTGTCTTGTGGCTGGAAGGTCCTGGGTTTGAACTCTGGCGGTGGGTTAGTACTGCCATTGAGTCGTAAATTAGGACAAAACAGCTGTCCAGTACTCCCACCTGGTCTTTAATGGTTTTCTAACTGATATCAATCCGTGGTCAAACTTGAGAGAAAATTAATAACTAGCCGGCGAATGGGCCTGTTTTGAACAAAATGATCCTAATTTCTTGTTTTTCGATCAAGTCTAAATCTGATACAATTTTAATGAAGGAGTATGTGATAAACAAACATCACATAAGCGGTATGGTACAGCCGAGGATGAGTAAACTTCAGTCTCTCTAGAAATGCTCTCATGTGGCCACGGGTTCATAGCTTCTGCCATGTAAGCTCTATTCATCACTGGTCTTTACGAGGAGGTGGTGTTCCTCATAAAAGTGAAAGGGTAATTTCGAACGACTGGATCTTACAGCCGAACTGGTGGATGTTCAGGTTTACTTAGGGAAGGGGGCGGAAAACCCTGATTCCAAACCTATGATGTACATGAGCTCTAGAATAAGAATGGATCAAATGGCATATGCACCTGTTTCGGCTGCCGGGGGACCCATGGGGACGTAGCTCCACTGCTTTGTGGATCAGACACTTCAAATCAAAGCCTGCTCGGGGGCGGGGGTGTTCCTTTAAAGACGACTGCCTGCTCGTGTCTGAACTTCCTGGTAGTATCCCAGTCCTTGCAAAAACTAGGAGGCAATAAATTCATTTGTGCCTCATCTTTTGGTGCTCATAATGTATCAAGTTTGTGTGTTTAAATAAACAAATAAATAAAAATTTTCACTTACTTTGACAATAAAAAGAAACATTATATATTGCATGATAGGCTTCAATCGACAAATGCCCAACATAACACGATATGTATCAATCAGTGATAATTCTTCATTCGATTCTATTGTATTCAACTGTTCATTTGGTGAAATTTCAATTATATGACTCCGACCATCTAGTGGATATTGTGTTGCAGTCGAGTCGATAAGTCGATCATAATCATCATCACCATGATCAGAATGAACTTGTTTATTACTTCGATTATCTTCATCTGAAATACGATTACGAGAACGTGATAATCGATTGTGTTGTTTATCTTCTGATTTATTTGATGAAACAGTTAAGAGATTGTTATTGTCATAAGAAATATGTGCACGATCAGAATGCTTAGGTGATTGATTACCTGAGTCATTAGTTATTTCTTTTTTAAATATTCCGACGAGTGTAGTTGACACAAGAAATACAACGCCCCAAAAATAAAGAAAGCCTATTTGATAGGTTGAAAATAAATGTGAAATAAAAGAAGTCATCAGTTATTGGTTACAGGTAATAATAATAATAATAATAATAATAATAATAATTGTAGCAAGATACAAATCTGAAATGAGGTCATAATTCTATAATTTCCTTTGACATTCAATTCAATCGGTTTTATTTCTTCGCCGAATCCAAGTTTTGTAATAAAAATGCAAACGATGATTCAAAATAAAATAGGAAAAGCATAGAATTGGAAAAAGCGATCACCAAGCTACTTATCTAGGCGGCATCGTTTCAATTATTACGGGTGAAAGCATGCATGTGGATGTCGAAACCAGCCAGGATCGGGAAGGCAAAAGCACACCTTTATCACTCTGAAATCAGTGTGGAAATCTGCTGCACTCTGCATAAAGAACAGAACTCGAATTTTCAACACTAATGTTGAGTCAGTCACTTCTTCTATATGGGTTAGAAAATTGGGACGTCATGAGTGACATTTCCGACAGGATACTGCAGAATTTCATCAATAGCTGCGTTGGCTGGCTGCATACTGAAGGTCAGATGGCGGGCCAACCAGAAGGAATTAGTGAGAAGAAACTCCAGGAGCGGGAGAGGAACAATCAAGAAACTATTGCTCAACAAATATGTCGAAGAAAACACAGATGGATCGAACACACACTGAGGAGACTGTTGAGTGGCGACGTGCACCAGAGCATCGCTTGAGTGGAACCCAAATGGGAAATGACGAGTTGGACATGTGTCCAAGGGTGACATAGAGGAGGTCGTGTGAGAAAACAGCGAGCGCCTACGGGCAATCATGAGGTCAGCTGAAGAGGACTGAAGAAAACAGGAAGGAACGGAGATGTGGTGTTAAAGCCCTATGGTCCACTTTGAATCCAACAGAACAATAAATAATAAAATATACACTACTGCCTTGATGGTCTGGTCTATACACTGAGCTATCAAATCCATCTACTAATGATATATCCATCTTCATTATAGATACTCTCATCCCACTGTCATGTGAATGAATAGATGGCAAATATTATCAGACTAACTAACAGTTCAGCAAGGTATTTTCAATGAAGTTATTTTGTTTGGTGGTGATGGTGGTGGTGGAATCTAGGATGTGCATTTCCTCCGATTCAGAACAATATCACCCACTGGGAGTGCAGGTACATTAAGCTGACGAGTCCCGGATAAGGCGAAATGTGTCCGCTAGATTCCACTGCTAGTCACATTTAGTTAAGTAGATGATGACTTTTCGGCGATACAAAAACTGACCTTAAAATTTGTTGAATATCCAAAACAAACAACAACAAAAAAGTCAAGCTAAATAATTCAAATAAAATCACTTCAGATATAATGGAGATTTGTAGTTTAGTTGGATGATTTAGTTGCGAAGCTTTCATTGTGATTAATAAACAACATCTTTAAAACATACTTCAATTTGAAATGAGCTTTTATAGTTCTCCATGAGTTTATCAGCCATCTCTCCTGGTAACCTTGAACGTGATTGGTTCTTTCTATATATATTTTCCCACCTTTTAGTCTAGCTGCATGGGTATTGACTATTTTTTGGATCTGAAAGTTAACCTTTTGTTCATAAGATCTCCTTTTTCTTAACTAGCTGATCTTATCTATGTCAATGTGTTTGTTGATTGCTAGTATACTTGAATACCAGGCCTCTAGAAATCCTCTGGCATTTTTAGTGTTTCCTCTCTACGAGATCTGAACATTGTCCCAAAAGAATTGGTGTCCCGGGTTGTCTGCGTGCATTGATACGGGGAAGTGAATATCGTGTCTTTTGACAGTCAGTTTATGTTCGTAGACGCGAAGAAGGAAAGGGTGTCCACGTTGACCATTATAATGTTTTCATAGTCGTTGCAAATCATCTTGTAGATGATGTTGGTTTTGTCTTCTTTCGCTGTAGAGTTTTTGGCTAACATAGAGCCTAGTGAAGTGATTTTGTTGGTTTGTGGGCGACATCAATTCCAAAAAGTTTGAATAGTCTTGCAGTGATTTCAGAGATGTTCTTCATAATACGGTAGGACAATTTTCTTTGTGCTTCCACTGGAGACTTTTGATTTGGTTGGTTGCGTTCAAGATAGATACCTTTAAACGAAGTTTCGTAGATATTCGTTGTTTTCGAAGGCCGCCTTAAAATATTTTTCTTCCATTTTCTTCATGGCAGGAGTTCTACAATGCATCCTAACTCTCCTAAATAATATTTATATGCGACTCCATCTGTGTGGTGTTGTAGTAAAGTATTTGATCTGTATGAGTTGGTTTCTGTATACTTGTTTGCTTGACTAAGACATCTAATAATGGAATTTCACTCATAGATTCCTATTCTTTCGTGAATCTGATAATGTCGACGTTATGGATTAGGTTGAGTTTTCTAAATTGTTTCCCCCAATTATTATGAATGTGTCTTCCACGTAACGTATCCAAATTTCGCGTTTAATCTTTGGTAGAAATATGTTTTCAAACCATTGCATAACACCTTCTGCAGTCAGTCCTGATATGGGCGGTTCCACAGACGTCCCTTTTATCTGTTCATATATATGACCACTGAATCGAAAATATACTATTGGACATAAATCTATGCATTCCATCTAACTTGAATATTGCATTTTTTTAAGTATTGTGGGAGGTATTCATTGTTGCTGAGTAATAGTTGCATGGACACTTCTGCTAGGTTTTGTCCAATCGAAGTACACAATGCTGTGACATTGAAGGATACCATCATTTCTTGATCGTCCCTCTGAATGTCTTTGATTTCTTCTAAAAACTGCATCGGAGATTTAATGAAGTGATCATAAAATCCTGTCAAAGATTTTGGTTTCCTGTACAGTTCCTTGGATAAATTGAAGTCCCTGGAAGTGAAACGACTGGTCGTACGGGAGGTCGGGAGATTATTTGGTTTATGTAGTTTGAATCCGCTACAAAATCGGAGTAGAACAGGTTTATCGAGTTTCCCACGACGCCACGTTATAGGCTAAGCACGTTTCTCCATCCCGTCCCAGAGCTAGCGGACAGGGACAGGTACGGAAGCCCCTGGGATGACATTCGCAGCACATATCCAAGTTGCTGAAGCCGGTGCTTCCAGATGACGACATTCAATGAATAGTGATGTCTACCGCGTCAGAATTAGTAACACGATTATGCCATCGGATGCAAGCGATTCTACGGAGACAGCTATGATCGAATACGCAGTCACCGAAAATTCTCAGCTTGGAGAGGCTGGGTTTCACAGGCATAGACTAAGACTTATGAAATACTTACTTTGCACCGACATATTTCTCACAGCGACTTTTTACACTACATGCTAATTTGATTAGTAAATCAGGACGATTGATGTAATTGTTGTTGAATAATTGCATTACTCAGTAGAATATTTCTTTAATTTACGATAACTTTTTATATCGAATACTATACTTGCTATATGAAGTGAGTCGGTTTAAGGTTGGGACATGTGTTACGCATGCCTAGCAACTGCCTTCCTCGTCAAGCAATGTTAGCTGACAGAGGATCAGGTTGGAAAACAGATGGTGATGGTCAAATCAAAACTTGTCTTCAGTGCATGAAATCTTTAAGCCAGCCACTTAGGGAGGTGTACACTTTGTGGTCGGGGCTTTGAGAAGATAAGAATCAATGGCTGGAGACAACTATTGATACGACTCAAAACCGTTCTTAATGAAGCAGACGCATTCCCTCTCTGTGATCTGCCATACTCATTAAGCCCTGTTGTTTTGTCATGTTAATATTCTTTCTCTCTCTCTCTCACATTTTTGCTTATTATTGTTCTTTCAAAGCTCCTCTTTTCTCTTTTGTCTAGCTTTGTGTTCTACATAAAGTGTGGCAAATTGAACTGGTGCACTTCTGTGCAAAGTTCTATTTTGAAACCATTCAGTCAGAGTAAGTTTAACTGAACCCAGACTCAGTCCGCACACCTCAGTACGAATCCTCCTGTGAAACCATCAGTGTTTCGAAAGTAAAGTAGTATCATCTACTCTTATGCAATAGCCTTGGTTTACAGCCGAAATTCCCATTCCGCTGGTGAATCATCTGACCAATTTGCGATAATACTACGATAAACATGTACATATTTGGTTTAAAACTAACCTGAAAAGGTAATTATCCCTTTGCCTTCAACAGGAATGCTTCTTATATACGTGTTAGAAATATCCGGTGATTCTAAGCACATAAACAAGATAAAGGCAATTACATAACCCAATGTTTGGCCGACTGTGTTGCAAGTAGAAGCCCATCCTAAGTTTTTTCTGAAATGTAAAAGTAAAAATGACTTGAAAAGATTTCCGGCTTTCAGGGGAAAAAAAGTTTTACAAGTAAGAAAGAAAAACCAATATTGAATACCTAGAATAAAATTACTTGAAGATGCTTCTCGCCATGACCTAATTTCAGCTTATGAAATACAGAAAACTGGATAGTTTCTAACAAAAGTTTCATCACAGTGATAGAACATTTCGCTATTGGCAAGAGTATTCATTAAATCTAAATTTCATACTCTACATTTGTTAAACTTCAAGAAATTGATTACAATGTGACCGCCAATCAAGATTTTTAAACTGACTAGAGAAATTTCAGGTTTCAGTTTGCAATCGATAGGGTGCGTATTGATGAAGAGTCCCAGACTGTGACAAAACAGTTGTCCAGTACTCCTTGCTGACTTTCCAATGATTCTCCAACTGATGTCAGTTCATGATCAAAACTGTGACTGGAGAATGCAATAGTTACAGTTGCACACCTTAAAACAGTTCAGATGAATTAAGGGAACAAAATGTGAGGATCCCGAAATGGAAATTCATGGATGTAAAGCATAGAATAATTACATGGAGATAAGTAACCTTAAAGATTTCGGCTACAGAGTGTGTATGCATCTGTGGAATTTCATCAAGTCTCCAACCAATGACTTTTAACATTTGGAGAAAATTAGACAGACAATCTACACCTTACTATGTAACTCCAACCGACGCTCAATAATTCCACTGATCAACGTCATGTTTTGGTTTTACTAGACCTGTCTTCTAACGCAATCCTTACTCCTAGCTAACACTGCTCATCTTCGAACGTAGTAGCTTAAATCTTAGACACCTCAGTCGACAGAACTTCACAGACTGATAGATTGGCTTACCTTTCTCACCTAACACTATGCGCGTAATTACGAGACTACTTACCGTACATTGATGGTTCACTACGGAGTAACCACTGTGATTTTCCTAGTCTCTAGTGCAAATTGGATTCTGTTAGTCACGAAAGCTAGTTCTACAGTTACTACCGACCGTCTTCAACAATCTAACTACTCACAATGTTGTCTCAGTTGAAGTGAAAAGACGAAATGGAAATAATCATGGTCAAAGACCAGTAATCATTCGACATTTCCCAACGTTTTTCATACACAGATTAAGAAGAAGTAAACAGCTACGCAGTACACACGCCCTCTAATGGATACCTCGCCGGCAACGAAGATGACCCAAGTCAACTAGGCTTTCTTCATATGTGCTGATATTAGTTAGCATATTTCTTTATTCTTCAGAAAAACTGACTTCTTAAGAATCCTCTCATTAGAACTTTTAAAAATTGATCTGACAGTCAGTGTCTAGCATTGGGTTTTTCCTTATGGTAAACTGAGAAGACTCAGTAGGCCATTGGTAATTTTCATCACAAGTAATTTGGTGATAAGTCCTGGTGGTTTGATTCAAGACTGAGTTCAAGACATCTTCTGTTCGAGTAAGGAACCAGACATTTGGCAGTGACTAGGTGAAACACACCGTTTTTACACCTTATTAGTAATAATGATCATCACTTAAACATTATTTAAACTGAAGACTTCTCAAACACCAGTTATTTGCAACATAATAATTACAGAATTAGTGCGGAAATATGTATCTGAGTGACTTCGTGAATTCGGCGTTTAAAAACAGGCTGTCAATTCTATTTGGAGTGAAATTATTACCTGGTTTTAATAACTTCAGACAATTCATATATACTATATATATATATATAATATTTCATCAAAAATTAGAGAGTGAAGCATCCAGGCAATTTAATATGCTGAATATACTTAGACTGCAGGAGGCAAACACAACTCATGCTGAGCGGTGATTACCAGATAATCAAATTTTAAAAAATAAAGAACTGAAAATAATGAAAGAAACTTTTGAGTTGTACAACTTCTACAACTGATAAAACCATGCAACATAATAGGAAATGAAGCAATGACAATTACAAAAATATTTACAGTTTCAAGAAAACATTACATTGACCGAACATACAGAACAGAACACAAATCATTGGTTGACAAAATATTGGCTGAAAAAGTAAGACATCTTCATGTTCGTTATAATAAAACAGTTCTTGATACACTCAACTGTTTATTAGGCGTTATAAATACACAACTATTAACCATCGAAAAGTAATTTATGATTCACTAACGAATAAACGTAAAAATATGCATAAAGGCGGGTTAGTCCATGTTGCCACACTTCAAGAAGCACACAAAATGAGGGAACAAACAGAATACTCCCGCAATGAACAGACATAAGTACAACAAAAAGAATGATTACACAAAGACTAGTCCAAAACTTTGGAATTTGAGAGATGATAAGGAGCAAATGTGTCTGCGTCATTATCAAGGATATGAGCTACTTCACTAAAAGTCTAACACTCCTAGCGTCCCGAAAACTCCAGCCAGACAATCTATAGATCCCAAGGTTTGTAAAAGTAAACTACTATATGCAACCTCAGAGAATCCTGACAACTATCAAATCTGCACCGCTATATCTCCTTTCATGTACACTCAGGATACAAAATGAAATTCGTCATTTGCAAATTATACATGCTGAAGAGAAATTTAGTCACAGTTTCTTTTAAAAACATACAATATTTAACTTAGAATATGAGATCTGCTTAAAAACGCAAGCGAAAAGAAGCACACCCCAGTATGGTATTTATTACTGGTTGAAATGATTGATTAGAAATCACTAATGTTGATCAGCAGTGCTGAACTGAATTGTTTGGCGTACATCGTTGATAAGCTTTGTAGAAACGGAAGAAACGTCCATCAGTGTTAAAATCACCTTTATAAATCACTATAAGATATGATTCAGCATGCATGTTCCATAGAGAACATGCCCTCCCTAACTATTTAGTATCATTCCGTCGAATGGCATATTTAATACCAATTGTTTAATAATATACTAGTTAACATTCTAGTCAAGGAGTTTAAAAGGTTGTGAAATGGTACCAAAGGTTGAATTATCAGTACACCTAATAAAATAAACAGCTCGGATAATAACTATTACAAACTCAGACACAATTTTAATTTGACAATATATGCAAGTAGCTGGCTAGAACTGCTGATGCCAGTAAAATACAGTTGGCACACAAAATAAAACAGAGAAGCTTAAATTTTGCTTGCTTGCACCTCCAAAATGCATTTGATCACAAAAATTAGGACATGCAACTTACAATGATTAGGAAGATATATTAATATGTTAAACCTTTATGGTAAATTGTGAGTAGGGAAATAAAAGTGACCTGTCTTTTATTTTACGCTGTCCGAAATTGCAGAACATGTTAATATTATAGTAACCCAAAAGATTTATCCACATTATGAAAACATCTCATTAATTCAATAAAACGTATGGTAGAAAGTTGTAATCACAAAAATATTTTAGATTTACTTCAACTAATACACTAATGAGAAGTATATTTAAGTAGAAAATACTACAAAGCACAGCATTTTTCACATGCATTATGTTAATTTGAAGCTCAATGACAAGGAGTAAATTGCTTTTTATAAAGTTAGAATGATTATGCAAAATAATAGCTAACTATTTTATGCATGGACCCACTGCAGTGTATCCTGATGAAGAAAGAAACTTTAATTCAATTTAATGCTAAATTTAGCAATACATATTGCTAACGTTCTATAGGTTTTTCCTTTGTTTTGTTCGATCTGTAGACAGTCAAGTAAAGAGGTTTACTAGAGAAATGGTTCGTTATCGAAATTTAACAAAAGACCAAACTAATTTATCGTCATGGTTCTCAATATAATGAAGAGAAGTTTTATGTTTGAAGAACTCGCTTATATTCAAACATTTAACCACATCTCAAATATACATATACATTCAAAATAATGAACTCACTTCGACAACATTGTAAGCGCCCAACCATCTACTGCTATATCCTGTGTAGCGGCAAGAAATGTGAGCCCAAAGAAAGCAAAAGTCAAGCTAAAAATATTCACTGGATGTGTTACTCCTAACGGACCCCATGGGTTATCGGATGTACGTCCCAACCAGTGGTCAATATATCGTGCAAGAATAAGAAGATCAATTCCAATGGCGTACTGGACAGGAATGAGCCAAGTTTTGCGCCTGCCTATTCGTGAACTGTACAGTGAATCTACTATTGGGGCCCAGGCTAATTTGAGTGAAAATGGCCATGTGACAAATGAAAATGTTGCTTGAAGCTGGTAATTAATCGTTTTCGGATCCGACTGAAGTAGGTATGGAACTGCAGCTGCCAGTCCCAGAGGAATGCCCTGAAATAGTAAATAAGTAGCAAGAAACGCTAAGCTTCCAAATGCAATTTAAAGTGCTGTAAGAAAAGAAATTATGAATTGTCGTGACGTATGATTCCGTAATACTTATTTTATTTTATGACTGTGATGTAGTATTATATATTTATTCATACTGATGACGTCTCAAACACAGTTTACTGTTCTTAATCACATTCAAGTAATTAGATGACTTTCAGATTTCGTTGATATAGTTCTATTTTGTCTTGTCTTTTGAGTTTATTGGTAATAATATTTCTTATTAGTTATACTTCCCTCCACTGATCAATGAATATATGTTCATCGAATCTCCACTAAATATGCATAGGAATGACGCGATACAATTACCAGATATATAGAGGATATTATTACTAACAAACTCAAAAGACAAGAAGAAACAGAACTTTGTAAACAAAGCCTGAGTCATGTAAGTACCTGGGTATGATTATGAGCAGTAAATTGTACTTGAAACGTCATCAGTAACTAAATTAATCCTATATAGCTGCTATATCGAATTAATTCATTCTAAGAAATTCTACTGCAAATTAAAATTCATTGATAGCGATGAAAATCAAGAGATGAAATGACATAAAATTATGTGTAGTGAATAATGGTTACGGTTTTCATACTTTAAGACAACAAAGCTACCAGAGAAAGCATGTGCAGGTCCTCTTATTAACGGTTTCTACTATTTTCAGAACTCAAAACACACGATCTGTACATACCAGCAACAGCAGCAAAGACTAGTAACATATCTTTCACCTACTAACTTTAAAATCTCAGTTACCTCATTTTTGGGATAACTACCAAATTCGGCCTTTTAATCAACATTTTGAGCGAGCTGATGAGAACCTATTGAACACATGAGAAAATTCTGAATTTGACTCATGTGGCACGAGTTCATTTGGCGTAACCAACTTCTTTTGGTATGCTACAATCCACCGCTTCAACAGACCACAGTTGCTTAGCAATAACTGGGACATGAAAGGAGTCACGAAGATCAATAAATCAGTGTGAAGAGGAAGAAATTTGTAAAATTAAAGGTCAAAAATAGCTATTAGGCAATAAATTTCGTTCCTAAAACTCTCGTATATCTTGCTGAAAATACGACATAGTGGTTGCAAATTTAAGTATTTCTAAAAACAATTCCCAGACCAGTGAGTCATATGCTTTATAAAACTATACTCAGTGAGCTGTGACAACAGCCCATATGGAAAAAATGACCATTAATCACTCAGCATCTACAGGACTGATTCTATCACTTGGGAGAGATATTTCTCCAAGCTCTAAGTTAGATTTATAGCAAAAGAGCTAGCTTAGTCCACCACAATAAATTTAGTGAAAGTTTTCTAATCCCCGAATCATTTGTCTGAAAGCCGACAGTAAACAGGCAACATTACGCTTGAGATTGCACCGACACTTTAGTTTAAAAGCAACCTGATATTGATTTAGTTGTCCATATACAACCTAGAATATACGCAGAAATTTGGTCTATAGCAAGTTATAGCACAAAATAGAAAACAGATTTTTTATTTTATACTGGATAATTTTGCAACAAACTATGCATGGAAATCAAAACAATAATGAATATATATAATGAATATATATCGTCCAGGAAAGATATTACTGTTATTTTGGCATATGTTTTTCGTGACACGTGTCAGTAAACTCAGAACTTACCTGCAAGATGTATAAAAACATAAGGACACATATACTGTATGTGTCTGAACATTCTTTCTCGTGTTCACTACTCAAATATTTTCCTTTTTTTAGTGAATCTATGGGAACTGGTGAAGACTTGCCCTTCGACATCTTCACAGTAGCGAAGCAACCAAACTAGGCGCTATTAGAAACCCAGGGTTTCGGTTATCATTTCAGTGTCTCATATTAGCACAACAAGGGAATTTCGCAGTTATAAATAGCAATGAATGTATATTCATTTCACATTGGTAAAAATAGAAACAGACTTGTTCCTTTTGCAATATTCACTTTGGAAGTGAAGGTGATTATCGGTGATTCCTCCAATATTTGGACCATGCACATAGTCCTGGGTTCGACAGCTGGCTGACGCACTCCTTTACCTGGCTAAGACAGCAATAAAAAGCTGGTAAAGAGTATAGGTTGAGCATGAGTCTAGCTACGCCATCCTGTAAAAATTAACACTGTTACAGAAACTTCAAGCCTCTAGCTTGAAGCCCTATGTTCCAATGGGAACGTGAGAGTTAATGAAAAATAATTGATTTGCACAATCCTGCACTCAAGGTTTATTGAATGCTATTGCCTCTCTTGCACAGGATACATTTGGCAGACAGCATGATGATGTATACAGGCAAAAATTTTCAGATTACCCAAATATCCGTAAACATATTGAAGATTTTTTGCCTCTCTAAAATATTTTCTGGTTTTTCTCAAATGAATGGTATCAAAATGATTGAGCGACTACGATCATTATGTAAAGATACATGTGGAGCTTCTATTAAAGACTTGATGTAGTGGAAACCAATTTTATCTCTCAGGATTACGACAGCAAGATTCAACTCACAAGCATGGAAAGAAGGTCAAAATTATCTAATATTACGCGCAATGTCACAAACAACGCGAGACAAGAGAAGAATGAAGATTTCTACAGACAACTACAAACAGTAATGGACAACATCCCAAATGGTGACGTCGAAATCCTCATGGGTGATATGAATGTCAGCCAAACTGGGAGCAGATACTAATGGAAGAGAACTCATCATGGGTCGAGAGACACTGACTCGGCGAAATGAATGAGAAGAGGGAATTATTCGCAGACTTCTCTTTCAACGATTTGTTGATCGAAGGTGGCGTGTACAAACTCAAGGATATACACAAAGCAACATGGATTTCGCCTGACGGACACACCACAAACCAAATAGACTTTATCTCAATGCAGCTCAATCAGGTGGAGACACAGCCAGTCTGCTGGACACAAATTCTAGGAGGGGAGCAGATATGGGCTCAGACCATCATCCAGTTTGAAGGATGTTCAGAGTGAAGCTGAAATCCATGAAAACAAATGGAGACAGACCACAATTCAAGTTCAACATTCAGAAACTGGAGGACAAAACTACAAGGGATGCCTTCGCTACAGATATCGGTGCAAAGTCTGAGATACTAGGTAGAATCACTGAGGAAATCTGTGTGGAAGAACATTGGAACTCTCTTAAAGTGATATTTAAGGAAACGTGTACAACTATTCTAGGAAGAAGGAAGAGACAAGACAAGGAACGGCTGTGAACGGATATCTGGAAGCTAATCGAGGAAAGGAGGATGATGAAAGAGTAGATGGCTCATCGCGAAGATGGACAACAGAAGGAGAAGCTGAGTTCAGTGTAGACTGCACTGCATTAAGAGAGAACTGAAGAAGAGTGCTAGAAAAGACAAACGACAATTCTACGACACACTGGCCAGCCACTGAAGCAGAACGGGCAGGAGGCAGGCAAAAGAGACATCAAGACACTATATCAGATGACTAGGTCTATCTGGATCCGGGAAGAGACCAACCCAGATGATGAAAACAATAAAGATGGTGAAGGGAACCTGATCACCAAGGAGGAGAAAAAAATCAAACAATGGGCTGATCACTTCAAAGAAATCTCGAATCGACCATCACCTGCAACTCGCCCACAGATACCGCCATCACCAACAGCACGCACAGAAGTGCCTGCCAGTGGACACCCATCCTCCAACGAAAGTAGAAATCCTGAATTCAGTCAAGCTACTGAATGCCATCCGGGAAGGTGGCAGGACCAGACTGCATTCCTCCCCAAGCACTGAAGACGACCCCAGAGATTACGGCAGATGTCCTCACTGGCTTTTGGTGTGCGTTGGTAGCACACTGGTTAGAATGCCCGCCGACCACGCACATAGTACGGCGCGGCCAATGGACACCAGATATCAATGGTTG